TGGAGCCCGTGTTCTTTTCCAAACTCAAAAAAGGCTATGAAAAAGGTACCAGGGGCATCTCATGGGGCCCCTACTGACTCCGGGCCCTCGGGCAGTGCCTGAGTTTCCAAATGGTCAGTCCACCCCTGCCCCGTACTATCAGTCAAATTTGAAAACAGCGAAGCCGCGCAGGGCTCCGCCCACACGCCCGCATCATTCATTGACTTCCATAGCGGCTGTCGGTTTGTAGTTTTCAATGAACTACCACGGCGCTGTACATCCCGTACGGCAAGCAGATATTCTGACAGGTCTACTGAACAATGGTGCAATGCTTTCCAGCCTCCTGTAGACAAAAATAATAAATGCACATTTTTTTTTTACCTGCAAAAAAAAATGTTCATTTATTATTTTTGCCAAAAGGGTGAACTTATCCTTTAAACTTAAAAAGTCAATTGTGAACAGGCACCATAGAGAACAATTGAATTAAATTTGAGCATTTTTGGAGCTTCGAGCTACAAATCATCAAGTGTGAATGTAGCCATAAGTAGAACTAAAGGGCAAAACTTTTTTTCACTTTGGATAGAGCAAAGGAGGGTTATAACCCCTGCCTGATGTTTTTGCGCTATCGTTGTCCCAGTGCAGAGATTTCCCGTCACTTCCGGTCCCAAAGCCAAACAGGAAGCGAGAGGAAATCCCGGAAAATTAAGGGAATTCCTTGGGGAACTAGTGTCCCCTTTGGAAGATTTCCCATCTATTACTATTCGGGGGACAACCCACAATTAGGGATTTTCTTTTACTTTCAATGATAAATGGGAAAAATAAAAAGAATGAATCCCTCTAACGGGAGCACAGATAGCAATGTATAACTGACAGGGGTTCTAATCCTCCAGTCTGTTATAACCCCTGCCAGATGTTTTTGCGCCATCGTTGTCCAAGTGCAGATTTCCCGTCACTTCCAGTCCCAAAGCCAAACAGGGGTTATAACCCCTGCCAGATGTTTTTGCGCCATCGTTGTCCCAGTGCAGAGATTTCCCATCACTTCCGGTCCCAAAGCCAAACAGGAAGCGAGAGGAAATCCCGGAAAATTAAGGGAATTCCTTGGGGAACTAGTGTCCCCTTTGGAAGATTTCCCCTCTATTACTATTCGGGGACGACCATTTTCTTTTACTTTCAATGATAAATGGGAAAAACAAAAAGGATGAATCCCCCTAACGGGAGCACAGATAGCAATGTATAACTGACAGGGTTCTAATCCTCCAGTCTGTTATAACCCCTGCCAGATGTTTTTCCTCTATTACTATTCGGGGGGGACAAACAGGATTTTCTTTTAAATGATAAATGGGAAAAATAAAAGGAAATCTAACCGGAAGCAAATTGACAGGGTTCTAATTCCCTTGTTATAACCCCTGCCAGTGTTTTTGCGCCATTTGGGGCAGATTTCCCCTCATTCCATTCCCAAAGCCAAACAGGGGTTACAACCCCTGCCAGATGTTTTAGGGATTCTTCTTTTCACTTCCTTTCCCAAAGCCAAACAAAGCGAGAGGAAATCCCGGAAAATTAAGGGAATTCCTTGGGGAACTAGTGTCCCCTTTGGAGATTTCCCCTCTATTACTATTCGGGGGACAAATTAGGGATTTTCTTTTACTTTCAATGATAAATGGAGAAACAAAAAGGATGAATCCCCCTAACGGGAGCACAGATTTATAACTGACAGGGGTTCTAATCCTCCAGTCTGTTTAACCCTGCCAATGCGCCATCGTTGTCCCAGTGCAATTTCCCGTCACTTCCGGTCCCAAAGCCAAACAGGAAGCGAGAGAAACGGAAAAAGGAATTCCTTGGGGAACTAATTTCCCCTCTATTACTACGGGGGGACAACCCACAATTAGGGTACTTTCACAAAAAGATCCCCCTACGGGAGCACAGATAGCAAGTAAAACCGACAGGGGTTCTAATCCTCCAGTCTGTTCAAAACTTTAAAAAAGAAATAAAATGTTGCCTTTGGTTATGTTTTTTATTGTAGAGAATATCTTAACGTAACGTAAGAAAAAAACAAAGAAACCCTTCAGCCTTTATCCTGGTTCACATCAGTGTGGTAAATCATATGTGATTCGCACAGGTACCGCACCGCATTCCCGTGCAAATCACATGTGATTTGAGGGCAGTGCGATTGAACACATGCATTTTGTATGGCTCTAACCGCACCGCACCCGCAGGACCCTTTTTTGGGTCTGCACTAGAATCGGCTGGCATGGGTATTCACACCTACAGGTGAAACTCGAAAATTACAATATGTGCATGTAATGAGTCTCTCATATATTAGTTTCACCTTTTAAGTTGCATTACTGAAATAAATGAACTTTTGCACGATATTCTAATTTTTCAAGTTTCACCTGTATGTGATCCGATTCTGCACATCGCACCGCATTTTGCGGATCAATTTAAGGTTGTTAACATACACATCTGCAGCGGTTCGCATGAACGGGGTGCGATTCTGATGTGGTGCTGAAATCGCACTGAAAACGCTGAGAAATCCGCACCGCATCAGTTTGAACCGAGGCTCTGAGCTTTAAACAGAATGCTTGTCTCACGTATACCATAGATCCCAAAAATAAAGGGGTTAACTTGTGCTAGGATAGAGGGCGGAGTCCTGCAAATGATTCCTCTATACCCCCTGGGCCCGCCGTACATCCAGAACAGATGGGTTGTGGGCACAGATACAACCGGATCATATTAGAGCCGTTTGTTCCAAAGTGCTTACAGCTGTTTCAGGCTTGTTGGCCTTCATCAGCGCAGTGCATGTCCAACAATCACAGAACAGCTGTGTGCCATGTGGAGTAGATGGCTCTGTATGATCAGTCTGAATCTGCAGTATAGGAAGGGGATGAACAGTTAGCCATGGGGGCACCAAGGAATGATTTGTATGGCTCCTCCTACCATCCTAACCTAAAGTAAAGCATGGACCTCCATGTCTTTGGGCGATGGAAGTGACACATCCAGATGTCTTGTGTTTTATGACTTGTTTTACTGTGCTTCCCAAAGGCTGGTTAGAGTAATGATATAAAACCTTCTCGGCCTTTTGGCTAAGATCAAGTGTGGTATCTGTTCTTATCAGTGTCCAGTAGGGGCGCTCCACCATCATTCCTGCTAGCGGGGGGATGATTGGTTGTATAGGGGTCCTGATGGTTAGTACAGGCTGGAACAGAAACCGAGGCGCCCACAGGCTGCTGGGGCCCGGGAGTAATTCCCCCTGGAAAACCGGAGGGGCCCAGTTCCTCCTGATTTGAACGGATCTACCTTGTCTGGCCAGGAGTCGGGGAGGCAGAGAGTCCGCGAACCTGTGCCCCCTGAGAGTGGTCGCCTCAGGGGTGCTCTTAGTAACACTTGGGTGTGGGACCCCAACATGTGAAAAGGCACATGGTCACGGTTTCAACACTTTTCCTGCACTGCGCCTTTTAGGGCTAGGACTTTTGGCTAAGTTCTGGGCAATTTTTACAACGGGCCTCAGGGCCTAGCCAGAGCACAATCTGCACGGCCACTTATTTATTTACTCTCCCACGTTTGTCACTTTTCACTTATGTGTGTGTTCTCGGGCCTACCCTGAAGTCTAGGGAGAGGATGTGTGGGCCTTTTGATTCCTTCCTCCCCTGTCCCTGGGGTTTTTTTTTTTTTTTTTTTTCGGGAGAGCCCCCTGACCAAGTACTTGGTGGCTGGCCACAAGGAACGGGGTCCGCCATGCCTTTTGGCTAGGTGGACCAAATGGGAACCTTGTCACTATCAGGAGCTTCGTGCCCCGGGAGATCAGGGTAGAGGTCCATCCCCTTCGGGGGAAGGACAAAGCACACCCCTAAGTGCACTTTTTTGTGTGGTGTTTTGCACTTGCACGTTTGTGAAAACTTACGGGTTTTTTCACACATTCGCGGAATTTAAAAAAAATAATAAAAAAATTATCTGTCCAGAACAGTGTCATTCTTGCATCTTAGTGAGGATGGTTGGCTGTTTGGTACCCCTGCTGCTATGAAGGTTAGTACTGGCTGGAACAGAAACTGTGGTGCCCACAGGAAGTTGGGGCCCGGGAGTGATTCCCCCTGGAAAACCGGAGGGGCTCAGTTCCTCCCGATTTGAATGGATCTACCTTGTCTGGCCAGGGGCGGGGAGGCAGAGAGTCCACGGAGCAGTGCTCCCTGAGTGGTCACCCCAGGGGTACTCTTAGTAGCACATGGGGGTGGGATCCCACGTGTGAGAAATGCATATGGTCTCTGTTCCAAACACTTTTCCTGCACTGCGCCTTCTAGGGATAGGCCTTTGGCTAAGTCCAGGGCAATTTTTATGCTACAGGCCCCAGGGCACAATTGCAGGGCCACTTTTTATTTACTCTCTCACGTTTTGTCACCTTTCAATTATGTGTGTGCCCGCCCTGAAGTCTAGGGGGAGGATGTGTGGCCTTTTGGTTCCTTCCTCCCGTTCCTGGGGGGGGGGGGGGGAATCTTTCTTCGGGAGAGCCCTCTGACCTAGTATTTGGTGGTCAGCTTCGGCTAGCCACAAGGAAAGGAGTCCACCAGGCCTTTTGGCTAGTTGGACCATGTGGAAACATGAGTCCCTGTCAGGAGCCTCATGCCCCGGGGGATCAGGGTAGAGGTTCTACCCCTTCAGGTGGTGGACTAAAGCACACCCCTAGGTGCACTTTTTTGTGTTTTGCATTTGCACATTTTTTGTTTACTTATGGGTTTTTGTTTTTTCGCATCTCCGCAGACTTGAAAGGGAAAAAAAAACAAAAACCTTTGTTTCTCTATTCATGAAGAATAAGATTTATACAGCCTAGAAATGAATATCAACGAGAATCTAAAACCAAATGTCAGTGACTCAGCCATGGCAGGGGGTTCAAGTAAACCAGCACTTTATTGGTAGCACATTTGGGGAGGAATGACATTCCAGTAAATCAAACAATGAGGTAACATGGCGAGTGGACCGCAGTGAAATAATGAAGTTGTTCTGGTCGGGAGGAGTCCCCTCAGGCGTCCATCTTACTTCTTCCATTCGTTCTTGTCATAGTCCCATTTGGCTGAGAATCCCTGCACGGGGTTGACCCTCATGTCCAACATTCTCTTCGTCTGCATGGCCACCCATTCGTCAGACAGAGTGTGAGGAAGCTCACCGAACACTGTGCAGATTGGACAGAGAATGGCATTAAAGTCAGTAATCCCATGATAAAACATTGATGGATATTGTTTCTGTTTAGCAATATTAACCCCTTCACGCCGGAGTTGGGTGGGGCTTAGTGTCATGTAGCCGCGTGACGTCACGGCCGGTCACATGATCGGGAAAGGTCCCGGTCAAAAGAGCGGACCGGGACCTTTCCTTGAGTACCACACGTGTGCTGGGAGCGTGCAGGGCGCGTGCTCTCAGCACATATGTTTTTTTGTTACATGGACGCAAATGTGCCGCCGCTCGGCATTTAGGCCCAGACGCCGGGAGGCCGCACATTTGCGTGAAGGGGTTAAAGAATCCCTATGTGCCCATTATTCTAATATCCCAGTTACCTGGTAATAATGACAACCAGGACAGCAGGGTCAGTTTCCTTGGCCCTGTATACTGATCTGCTGTGTCAATCAAAGCATATGTCACACACACACCCTGGGGGTTGCACACCAGCAGGAGGCAGTGTATATACACACACCCTTAAAAAGCTACTGTCTGCCCATTAATATACAATGGCCGAACAGGAGGCGTTTAGTTGGGTTCAACCTGGAATTCTATTTTAGTCTTCAGCATGTTCCCTTCCCCCTCCGAACATCTATGCCTAGTAACCTGTGTTAAGGTGGGAATACACGATTAGAAAATCGACCGTTCGCTGATCCGACGACCGAGAGGCGATCTTTCGTTGGTCGAAATCGTGGTCCACATTAACCAATCTAAACAATTGTTGACGTCTTCCGTACAACTGGAAGTGATGCGGTGTGCGTGTGACCTTGTAGCCACGCCCTTCCGGCCAGAACAATCGATATACACAACGATTACCAGCAATGAGTATAATATCGTTTATTACATGACCTATATACATAAATAGTGATACATAAAATATAATCTGCAGAATTCTGGTTTCATCATCTCATTCGGCCGATCTACTTTTAACATTTGGATTTTTCGTTCGTGTTTACGAAGATTCCTCGGACATAAACATCCGGGTCATCTTCTGTTTCCACACATGCGTGATAGCGCTTGATAGATTTTTTTTTCATACGTCCGTCATACCACCGCATAGAAAATCGGTCGTTCGTATGCGAAACAACAGTTTTTCACTGTTGTTCAACCGGATTTTTTTGTTCACAATATCGTTATCGGTTAAAACATCCTGCTTGTCAACGAAGAGAAAATCGTTCGATCAGTGGTTCCGCAAAATTTTTCGTACGATTTTCTTATCGTGTGTATGGGGCATAAGAAAGATGCATATCCTTGCCCATTTTCAGCCCGCTCCAATCATGTGATCCTCTGTGTCAGCCAGTAGCAACTGAAGGGGAGAGCGCTCAATGGCTGGGAATTTTGGGAGCAGTGATGTCACCCTTAGGCTCCTATGGCCCATCCATCACTGGTGCTCTCTCCTACTCCATGCAGCAGCATTGGCTGACACAGGGGAGGTAACTTGACTAGAGCGGCTTGAAAACAGGTATATCTCCTTCTAAAACAGGCTAGTCAGCATAGGTGTTAGGAGGGGGAGGGGACATTTAGACTAGTTCGGTTTATCCTGGAATTCTACTTTAAGTGCTGGACCAGGGGCAGACTGACAACTCATGGGGCCCCCAGGCAATAGAGGATCATGGGGCCCGTGTCCTCACCCACACCACACCCAAAAAAGCCTATGAAAGGTACCAGGGGCATCTCATGGGGCCCCCTACTGCAGTGCCCGAGTACCCGAATGGTCAGTCCGGCCCTGTGCTGGACTGTATATATCGTATGTCCAACCAAAGTCTTTTCTTTTCTCAAAGATAGACTGAGGCAAATTTGGAACCTCTGTCCAGTTTTTACTGCCATCTGGGGCTTTGTTATAGATTTACCCTCACTCCCTGTCGTGGTGACAACAGTTTCAGGATTGAGTGAAAATCTGCAGACACGAAGACAGAAACTAATAGAATAATATAATATAATACATTTATATTGTAATCTACGAAAAAAAAAAAATTCTCTGTGTTGCAGATTTTTCCTCACTTCCTGCCTGGTAAAACTGTAGTCACTGTGCCACTGCGGGGAAATCTCTAACGGAGTCTAAGATGGCAGTAAACAATAATTTGACAGGGGTTCTAATATGCCCCCCCTTCATCCAAAACATCAGAAAGAACTCAAGCAAACAGGTTCTCCGCGTCAATGATTTCTGCTTCTACACACTTGGTTGTTATACTTATCCTATGGCTTCATCACTTTTAAACGGCACAGATGTGAAAAACAAGCGTGTAGATGAGGGGTCCCAAATTCACATCAAAATTACTAAACCGTATGCTGTTCTGGGTTAATGACTGGAAAGCCTGAATCCAAAGATAACCAGGAACTGGTATTCTTAGCGGGTGGGCAGGCATGGGAGCTCTGTACACGCTTTCCTTGGTCATCTCTACCATAGGTGTCATTTGTATGACCCCCATATCAGTTGGTGGCCCCAGATAGATTTATTCAGGGCACAGTGTGCTTACCGTACTTCCTTTGCCACATGATAAAGAGTCCTGTGAAGCCGATAAAGAAGAAAGTAAACCCTAGGACACTCTTCCATTCGCTTGATCCCTTGTTCATGTCAGCATAGGTGTGATTGAACTTGATGTGATACACTGTGAAAGGGAGCAGAACAAAGTGATCAGAATTATCAGATACTTCAGTATACTGCCCCCTACTGGCTATGGTAACACACTGCCTTTACTACTTCTGGGTATCAGAGGAAGAGCAGTGCTCTGTGAACTAGGCACTATAACCAGGGTCATATTTACACAAGGCATTTGCCTAGGGCGGCATTTTTCAGGGGGGCAGCACCGCCCCCCCGGAAGAAGGGACACATGCGGCACAGGGACCAGGTGGTGTATGCAGAGCCGGACTCTTGTTCCCAGGGATGTCCAGAGCTGTGAAGGTGAGTGCCTTTCTCTCTCTCTCCGGGAAGTGGGGGGTTGTTTGTTAGTGGAAGGCTCTCTTGGGTGGGGGCACGGGTGTTGTTGGTCAATGCCAGGCTCTCTCCTCGGGATGTGGGAAGGGGGGTAGTGTTGGTCAGTGTCAGGCTCTCTCGGGGTCCCCTCTAACTATAACCACACTCTGGTGCACGCTGCCACTATGTGAAGAGAGCTGCATGGGACTGCAGGACAGGATGGTTAAGTGGAGAGTGCCCCATTTTTGGGGGGGAGGGTTATGATTTCTGAAGGCAGCCCGTCAGACATTTTTTTTTGCCAATTTTAGACAATCTTGGCAGTTTACAGCTTTCAAAGTTGAAGGGTAATGCACAACTTCCCCTGTTCTCCACTCCCATTCTGATCAAGATGCAATTAACATTTTTCAATCAAATTATTTGATCTTCAGGAAATACAGGTTTGCTTTTGTAAAGATCATAGCACCCTGCCCCATGCATTGAACACATCCCTGACATCCTTTTAGATATGCATCTCTGCCAAGCACAGGATGCTGCAGACTTTACCTGTGCAACCTCCTGATCACTCTGTTAGGAGTGTAATCAAGAAACTGATCAGCAGAGTGCACAGCTACAGTCTAAAACACTTATGCCAGCCAAAGACAGGTCACAAATCGGCCGATTTTTGCACCATTAGTGGGTTAATTGGTCGGCCATTTTTCAGGGTTTTTGCACATTTTTTTTTTATCTGGCACGTTGGAAAATTTGCGGCCGATTTTACCGGCAATAATGGGAGGGAGGAGGAGAATTCCAGTCCGCTGTTATATTTTATATGAAGAAGTCTTGCGGTTGCAACAAATGTACCCATTTGTATCCAAATAAAAAACATGTGTAATAAAATAATGTATTAAAATGTTTTTATTTGGATACAGATGTTTTTATTTGGATACATTTGTTGCAACCACAAGACTTTTTCATATAAAATATAATAGCGGACTGGAATTCTTCTTCTTATGTATTGCTGTCACATTGTATGGTGTGCTCCCCTGTCTCTGCAAGGGACAGAAGTTATGGGGTTAATGCCGGCCATAGACGGGACGAAAATCAGCCAATTTTTTTTTTTTTTTTTTTTTTTTTTTTTTTTTTTTTTTTAACGTTGGTGGTAACGTCAAAACAACCAATTTTTCGTGCTTTCTTTTTTAAATCGACCGATTTTCGACCCGTCTATGGCCTGCATTAGGGGTCAGCAGGGGTGAACGTCTAAAAAGGGAGGAGCTCTTTCATGCAAAGCTTGAGGCAGGATTTTGAGGTTAACATGGGTCTTCTGACCTCTTCCACCAAATTGGAGCTTACTATGGAACAAAGGCCAACAGAAAGAACCAGGGATGATTTCACAGTCTAAAAAGATGCAGTTCTTAAAAACAGAATGATTTGATTGAAAAATGTCATTTTGTTGGATGGAGGTGGCAATGTGGAGGCATTCTATGCATACATGACACTTCAGCTTCTAATCACTAAACAGCTGTAAATCTCTCCAAGAAAACAGTGGTGAGAGCTCCCAACGCTGCATACCTGCTGGGGCCATCGCCAGGGGCAGTCCTGCCTGCTCTGTTTTTAATCATTCTTTATTTGAAAGATTGTGGCATGGAGGGCGGTAACAGAATCAGGAACTATAGTAGAGAGATCTCACTCCAGAGGTCCCCTGGCGACAGAAGAAGCCAACAACTCGTCAACTATCAAACTCCCAAGAACTCTTACTACAGAGACACTCTGGGAATTGTCCTGGAGCTGCCTACAGATGTTATGTTTGACAGCTACTGATCTTCTTGTAGGTGGCAGTATACCCCAACAGTATAGCTTCCTGTGTCCCTCAAAAACAAAAAAAAAACTTTAGGTGACAAATGGAGAACTAAAAAACCTAACATTGTATGGAATTCAGAAAGTCTGAAGTACTAGACCAGAGACATGCCATACCCTAGCCAGGGATAATTAGACTAAATCATGTAAATGTGTGGGGCGGCACAGTGGCTTAGTGGTTAGTACGTCTGCCTTGCAGTAAAATGGGTCATGGATTCGATTCCCGACCATGGCACCTCCTGCATGGAGTTTGCATGTTCTCCCTGTGCTTGCGTGGGTTTCCTTCGGGTGCTCCGGTTTCCTCCCATACTCCAAAGACATGCTGGTAGGTTAATTGGCTCCTGTCTAAATTGTCCTAATATGTGTATGTATGAATGTGAGTTAGGGACCTTAGATTGTACACCCCTTGAGGGTTAGGGACTGATGTGAATGTACAATATATATGTAAAGTGCTGTGTAAATTGACAGCGCTATATAAATACCATAAATAAAATAAATAATAAGTACAGCATAGCATTCCTTGATGCGATGGGACTTACATTCTACTTTCTCCTTGGTGCTCAGAGACATCCAAGCTCCCTTCTCCTTTTCTTTCAAGGCCTTCTGCTCGGAGGTCAGCTCCGCTATGTAGGGGATGTCTGGGAGGGGAAAGGCTCTGTTTTCATTGTATCTGGGAAGGGTGTGAGCTGGGATAGTCACGCTCCCTTCAAATAAAACAGGACAGGTTTGAATACTAGGAACAAAATGACAACTTTGAAATGAAGTGTATCCAAACCCAAGAACACAGATGTAATAGAGCGCAACTTACCAATCCTCGGATGTGGTGGCTGCATTAGTTTTCAGTATATTTCACCTGGTGATGCTGCCCATCCTAAGGGGACAACCCTCAACCACTGTACTGTATCTACAGAGAAGCAACGTTGTCACTCAAGGAAAGGAAATGTGTTAGGACTACAGAACATCACCTCATCTCCATTACATATGGGAGAAAGTCGCACATGGATATCAGGATGTCAGCAGGTAAAAAAAAAAAAAAAACCAGCTTTGCTGCCATTGTGCGGACTGCAAGGTCTGCTTAGTGTTTCACCCTAAAGAAGGGTTTAGTCGTAAAGATGCTTTAGAAGCAACCTATACTGCGAAAGACATCAGAGAGGGTAGGTCTCAGACAGGGCAGAAAAATGTACGCATTCAAGAACAAGAATGGTTTATGAAAATGACAACTGTGTGTGGCCAGCCTTCTATGGGAAGCGTGGAGGAGCGCCAAACTGCCTGCTGTTGCCCTCTTTGAACAATGGCATGCTATGTGAATGGTAATATTTTCTCTCTCTACATAGAGAGGAGGTGTTTGTAATTCACAGAAGATAGCTGGAAAGCCAATAACATTGATTCTCCTAGATTGTAAGCTCCCAGGATCAGGGCCCTCAAATCACTTGTGTATTGAACTGTATTGTTGCTGTATTGTCTCCCACTATAATGTAAAGCGCTGAGCAAACTGTTGGCGCTATATAAATCCTGTATTATTATTATATACAGGATTTATATATTTATTATACAGGATTTATTTTTTATTATTATTATTATTATTATTATAAAAAAAATAAATCCTGTATAATAATAATAAATATATAAATCCTGTATAATAATAATAATAATAATAATAAAAAATAAATCCTGTATATAATAATAAATATATAAATCCTGTATAATAATAATAATAATAAATCCTGTATAATAATAATATATATAAATCCTGTATAATAATAATAATAATGTATAAATCCTGTATAATAATAATATTCTGTTCAGTACACAGGAAGTTATTTCTTGCAGGATCAGCAGGACATTTTCTTCACTTGGGGAGAAATCCAAGGACTGGTAAGCTGTGATAGTACATTTTAGTTCTTGGGTTTAGACACAGTTTAAAAAGAGAACATCACACACACAAAAAAAAAAAAAAAAAACAAAACCACACAATAAGAACTGCAAATCATTTAAAAAACGCTCCCAAAACATGTGTGTACTCTGGGAAGCCCATCCACCTACAATGACTCATTTTACCACCCCTTTTGTTCAGGATTCCCAACCTGCAGGAAAATGATCACATGAAGATTACACCAACAGATCGGATATTTTCTGTATCAGATAAGTATCAGAGAGGAGCAATGAATATCGATAGCGGTGAGATACTGCAGGATGTCAAACTGATTTCTAAGGATCGATGGCTCTGGTGAAGTCACTCTTATCAGACAGGGTCACCCTAACTAGGATTCCCAAAATGACAAGCGAGCACCAGACCACAAATGAGTCCAAAGGAAAGCGGTGCAAAAAAATAAACTAACAGGAGGGGGTTTTATAGGTTCAACCCTAAAGCGGAGTTCCAGTCTCCTAGCCAACATTGCATTAATAGCATTGCAGGGATCATTGTAATTCCTCATAAGCAGAATGGATAATGTTGCCCATGTACACATTGTAACTACTTATTTTTCTTTTGTCCCCCTCAAGTCTGACTGCGGCCATGCAGGATTTGGGCAGCTGAAGCTGGCCTGGCTTCATTTCATGCAGCTGACTACCCAGCATGCACCCCGGGATCTCTTGCATGAGCAGTAATGACACTGTGAGGCGCGCTTTCTGTACCTGCATTAAATGCGCAAAGACTCCTGGGATCGATGACGTAGATATCCCAGGATTCAACGGGCAAGGCTGATGATGCAATCGCCTAGGCGGCCCCAACCGGAGGTCGCGGGGAACATTATTACTAAAAAAGGTACTTACTGCGGAAAATTTCTACATTTCAGTATCCAGATCTTGATTCATTAGCGGAGTACATTACAAATGTGGGCAATTCCTAAAAATGACTGGAACTCCGCTTTAAGTCTGCCAGCCAGGTCTATTTAGACCAGAGTCGTTTGTACACGTTTGCTACGATCCAATAGAATATATTTTTGTACCAAGTAGTCTAAGTTGGTGTCGTGTTTTTCCATGTGTTCTTTGTCTATGTGAAGTCTAACCTGCCAGAAAGTGGCAGCGCTTGTGCAAACGTGTAGAATTCCCAGCGAGTGTGTGCTGGAGTTTCAAAGATGGTGGCACAGAAGAGGGGTGGGGGAGGGCTTTCATTCAGTGGTTTAATTCTGCTTCAAGGTACTCCTTAAACAGCACAATTAGCAAACTGAATTATATGAATCTTCTATTCCTCCTACCAGTCCATCCCCCACAGTTATTACCTTTTGTACCACCAGCCCTTTCCTCTTAGATTGTAAGCTCCCAGGATCAGGGCCCTCCTAACCCTCTTGGATTGAACTGTATTGTCTGCCGTTATATGGTAAAGCACTGAGCAAACTGCTGGCGCTATATAAATCCTCCACTCAGTGTCCTCCAATCCCTCCACTGGCTTCCCAATACCCAATGAATAAAATTCAAAACATTACCAATAACATATAAAGCCATTTATAACTCCGCCCCCAATTACATCACCAATCTTGTCTAAAAATATCACCCAAACCGTCCTCTCCGCTCCTCCCACGACCTCTTGTCGCTCCTCCTCCCATGCTCATCTCCAGGACTTCTCCAGAGCCTCCCCCATCCCCTGGAACTCTCTACCCCAATCTGACTATCGCCTACTCTGCCAACTTTTAGGCGATCTCTGAAAATCTCTCTTCAGGGAAGCATATCCTGCCCTCAGCTAATAATGGAATCTTCTATTCCTCCTACCAGTCCATCCCCCATAGTTATTACCTTTTGCACCACTAGCCCCTCCCTCTTAGATTGTAAGCTTCCAGGATCAGGGCCTCCTATCCCTCTTGTATTGAACTGTATTGTTGCTGTATTGTCTCCCGTTATATTGTAAAGTGCTGAGCAAACTGTTTGTGCGATATAAATCCTGTATAATAATATATATAAATCCTGTATAATAATAATAATAATAATAATATAATAATATAATAATAATATATATATAAATCCTGTATAATATATAATATATAAATCCTGTATAATAATAATAATATATAAATCCTGTATATAATAATAATATATAAATCCTGTATAATAATAATAATAATATATAAATCCTGTAGAATAATAATAATAATAATATATAAATCCTGTATAATGATAATAAGTGATACAGTGTCTGGAATGGTTCCAGTAAATGTTTTTTTTTTCCAATTATTTGAGGGCTGAATAACGTTTGGACTCATTTATGGTTTGGCGCTCTTCATGCCTCTTGATATTCTGGTATTTTCTTTGCCAATATCATCATGTTCACTTACAGCAGAAAGCACACTGGATGGTGACCACACAAGTGTGTACAGACTCTGAATGGAGGAGCTACAGCTCTATAATAGACTGGATGATTCTTGTGGAATAAGAATTTTTAAAATGTATCAAGTTCAATATGACAATCTCACAGTTTTAATCCCATAAATCATATTATAGAGTTAGATATAGATTATAAAGCCAGGTTACTGCATTCACAGGTTAAAGAGGACCAGTTATACAGAGTTTCAGGTCACCCAACAATGTTATTTTGTCAGTAATGTGAAAGATTTGGCCATCATCTGTGAGGAAAATGGCACAATAGTTGTTCAGGTTCTGAATATTGGCCGAGACACTGTCCCCTGGTCATAAAGGCAGACCTTTCATCCCAAATTGAACATATCTTGGTATGTTATCTTAGTCCCTTCATGAAGAGTTATGAAAAAGTCATTAAAGCCCAAGTTTAGTTCATTTCTATTAAAACAAACACAAGGGACGGTACTTGCACTGAATAAGAAGTGTCCCTTGTGCTGATTGCTGCTGTCCTAGTTGAAATTTTCCATCCTGTGCCCTCACACCAGTAATTTTCTGGTGCTGTAGGTGTTAATATAGCCACTTGACCTGTTATAAGCGCGCATCATGAGTGCCAACCATGACCACCCTTTCTGTCCTCCTCCTCCAGTCACAGAAGCTTCTCGCAATTAAATGTTTTTGTGACGGGAGTCACTTTGGGTGGGGGCCCATGGAACCCAGCTCACTTTGGAGAGGTGGGGAGACCCCTGTCTCAGCTCCCCACATCCCTCATGTGTAAGTCACTCTGTGCCTGTTAGGGGTACAGGGTGATCTGTCCTAATATTGGGGTGGGGGGTTGTTGATTGTTTAATGCCATGTGGCTGCATCCCATTGTTCTATTGTGTGTTTTGCTTGGGAGCAAACTATTATGGGATGTATGTGTTTATGTGTATTAGCTTAGTGGGGAGTGTCTCCAGCAGCCCTCCCTCCTGATGGGACTGTCTGCTGGTGTGAAGTTTGAATTACCTGTGTGTCTCTTGTTGCTAAGTGTAGATTGTCTCCCCCCCCGTGCGTATAAAAAGCCAGTTCGAGTTTCAAATAAAGAGTTCCATGTTCAAACAGACTGGTGTCGTCTAGTCTTGTATGGTCGGCTGTGGTGTCTGTAGTTGGTGTTCGGATGGGGAAGCCGTATTATAACGGAAGTACCCAAGTGCAGTCGGGGTCGGTTCGTTTCAGTTTTCTTATCAAGGAGGGTGTGCTACTAACACGTAAACGCTTGATGTGCCTAAACATATGTGCAAAGCACATCTTTAGGTGTGTATTTAAGCAATTTTTCTCCTGCCAGGCGAAAATGTGTTCTGCTGGGCTGAAGGGTGGATGAGTCCTTACAATGAGTGAGAAGATTTGTCCAATTTGGGGTGAAAAAAATCTGCGTTAAGGCTTGGGTAAAGCCACCCCTGACTACTTTATACTTGCTTCTCCAACACTCCCTGATGCTTCTT